GAAAGCCCCGCACGACAGTCAGTGCGCGTTTGCTGCATGCAGCCCTCTGTGTCCTTGGAGTTCAACCGTGGCTCACGCTCTGCTCTTTTTTTTTTTTTTTTGTTTTCCAGGCAGTTTTGTACAGGTGAATTCAGGTAAGCATGTTCTAGTGTCCTTTTCAGTAGCCTACTCAGAGGAACAGGGCTGGTCGAGTAGGAAGAAGGCTCACTTGGACGTTTTTCCTACTATACCAGTACAAAATGAAAGAGTTATGGAAATCTGCTCTGATGGAATTGCGAGGGGCTCGGTCCGTCGCGGAGATGGCAGACTTTCCCATTTCGGCGTGACTTTGTTTGCGCTCGGGTTGCTCTGAAAAGCCCTGTCTGCAAATCCCACCTGGTGGTGCTGCAGGATGCAGTGGGATCCTGTTCAGCTGACGGGATAGAGGCTGCAGGGAGCCGGGTCATTTAACGGGCAGAGCCCGCTCGAGCTTTCCCTCGGCCTCTGATAGCGCCAGCTCAGGGCCCAGCCGCATCGGGTGGGTTGGCTGGCTGTATATCAAGGCAGCTACTACCACGTAGGGCAACCCTTCCCTGGGAGGGTTTTGTGTTGGGATATCCAGTAAGTCCCCAATGGTTTTCCTTTTTGCTTCCTTGCAGGAAAGATGGTGTCCCTATAGGTTATAAAGGAAGCACTTTCCACAGGTAATTCATCTTCTTTTGTTGAGGCACTTCAATGGCCATCTGAGCTAGGTGTGGTTTTGGGACCGGCCTTGAGGCATTGTTGGTCTGGGAGGCGTTTGTAGGTCACGGCTAATACCGTCTTTCTGTGGCTTTGGGGGATTCGGGGTGCTGCCAGATGGGCACGCTGGGGTCACTGGGAGGGATCCCCCGTTCCTGGTGTTTGGAGACCGTATTCCGGCGTCTGTCACCTAATCGCTATCCCCGGTCAAACAGCAATGGGTCCCCAGTTACCTGATAGCGGCCAGCTGTTAATATTTGTTGTAGATCTTAGGCTGTAGCATTCACAGACCCTGATAAATTTTGTCGTGCTGTGAGGCAGAACGCCTTTTTACCACATATGAAGCTTCCTGAGGCGTCTGTCTGCTGAGAACTAAGTATTGTTTTACTTCTTCAGGGTAATAAAGGATTTCATGATCCAAGGAGGTGACTTTGTAAACGTATGTACTTCTACATTCCTTTTGTGTTTTTCCTACGTGGTAAAATACGCAACTGTTTCCAAGGGCCCGTGCTGATTTATGGGATCTGCTGGCTCTCTTTTGAGGTACCCAGCGGTAACTGCAGGTTTCCGTGTAGCGTTGCTGCTGTCTTACTGCCACAGACTATAATGTAGTTGAAAACACAGCTGGAGTCTTGGGTGAACCTACCTCCTTGCGAAAAGATTTCCTCTCTAAAAAAAGCATGGGTAGCGTTGCTGCTGCTTTTCAAACCTGCAGAGTTTTTTGGTTTTTTTTTTTTGTTTTTTTTTTTACCCTGTTGTCCTTCCCCCTTCTCCTGTCTCCCCGCCCCCAAAACAAGAAACCCTGCAAATTTCTCCTAGCTTTGTGGAGAGAGACCCTAAGTACAGAATCAAGCGTCTAGGGCAAGAGAGAGTTTAAATCAAAACTAACTTTTTGCTAGTGAATTGTCTCAAAATAGAAAAGACTTTGTGCCCGCAGTGGTCGTCGTGTTCTGAGTTGAGGATAAGCAGGGAATATGGGGAAGGCTGGAGGACCGCGGAGTCTCTTTGCTGTCCTAGGACCCGGTAAAATTATTTTATTCCTGGAAGTGTTTCAAAATATGAGGGGGTGATAAAGCTTTTTTAATACGAAATGTATAGAATTGGGTTGAGTGAACGTCACTGAGAGAGCTGCCCGCATAACGGGTGGCTCAGCCACACCACGTTTTCAGGTAGTCGCTAACTGCGATGCTGTTCAAGTGTCCCAGCGGGCTTTATAACTTCCACTGAAGCTCAACGAGCATTACAGATTGCACCGGTATTTGTAATTTATAAATCACCCTCAATACAAAGCCAGTTGGGGGGCAAGAACGGTCACACTGAGCACTAAGATAGGGTATATGGTCCTGTCTCAGAGCTGACAGTTTAAGTAAACGACAGAGGATAGGAGGAAAAGAAGCAAGGGCTGGGTGAGCAGAGCAGAAGATGTGGAGCTGCACATGGTGTATTGCTTGCATCTTATTCTCCTGTTCAGTTTGGCCTCATAAAGAGCATACATGTTATGGAGACCGGTTGCAGCAAGGCAGAAGCGACGCAGAAGGGGAGGAAAATCAACACAGAAAGGGAAATTACGTTCAGAACAGTAAATTTAACTGACTGCCCCGGCGATACCTGTTTGCATTGCTTCTGCAGCTTTCCCCAAAGGGTTCCTCGCTGCAGCACCCTTAAGGCTGCCCTGCTGAAGGGTCCCTGCTCAGTCCTTTTGGCATCATACAGGAGAGTCTCTGCCGCGCTGGACCAAAGAGCGGGGTGGCCTTTCAGCAAGCCCACAAGCTGCGGGTCTTAGGTGACCCCTGCATCAGGCTTCTGCAAAGTTATAAACTCGCGAGCGATCGAAGCTTGCGACCTGCAGCTGTTAGGGGCCGTGCTGCTTTAATTTGTGAGTGTCTTGAGATCTGAGTTCTAGGGCTTTGTAGTGAGGACAAGCTGTCTCGACTTGGTAGAAAGTACAGCGAAAGTTAGAAACTCCGTGTTACGGAAGCTGTCCTTGCCGAACAGAGAGATCACTTCCCTGTTCCCAGTAAAGTCACCGCAAGGAAGGTGAAATAAGTAAGCACACCATCAGCCGACTTTTTCCACACAACCCCTTCTGCTTTCCTTGTCACACCAGCCTGTACTTTGACGTCCCCTCCCTTTTCCCTGCCAAGTCCAGGGGGGTCCATACCAAGCAGTCTATAGCCTCCATCTCACTCTGGGAGGCTTGCACTTCATCCGTACTATCTCCGCGGGTTTCTGCCAAGGTATGGATGGCAAACGATGCACTGTGTGGTTAGCAACCCGTCGCTGTTCCTCTTCAGAAAAGAAACATTGGGTGCGTTCACTGCTGGTGTATATAAATGGCAGTGTGGCACCTATTTTGGGCTGCGTTTAGCCCTGCCCTTTTGGTTGGGGGTTTTAAATTTAATTTTGAAGTCAAATTGTTCTGTAGCAGTTGCTGACTGGGCACCTCTCTCGCGCAGGGAGACGGCACTGGAGTAGCCAGTATATATAGGGGTCCTTTTGCAGATGAAAACTTCAAGCTGAAACACTCTGCTCCCGGGCTGCTCTCTATGGTGAGTATGAAACAGTGACGTTGTCAGACTGAAAAGCTTTTGGTACTTTCTCTGTGCCCTTTTTCTGAGCGTATAAATTATTTGCCCGACCACGGAAATCTCCACCACTGGATATGAGGTCTGAGAGACCTGCTTGGTAACTCCTAGTCAGGCGGCTCCTCATGGGTTAATGTGGTGAGTAACCCAAAAGTCCTGATCCTGCAGCATCCTTTTTTTTTTTTTTTCTTCACCTGTGGGAGTGCTGGGGCAGGCTCTGTTTGATCGGCTTTCAGAAGCACGTGGTGCTTACAGTTTTCATACGGTGGCAAGCAGTGGTGTTTTTTCTTCCCTGATACTGTTATCAAACACTGACCTCAGCAAGGATGAAACAAAGAGATTTGGGAGTTCCAAAGCCATAGCAGCGTTACCATGGTATCTTTTATAACCTACGCTTCCTGTTCAGCATTGTAGGAAAAACTGCAGCCATTGCATGTTGTCTGGTAGGAACAATGCACTGAGTTCTGTGGTGGAAAGCAAGTGGAGCCAGTGCTTCGGCATGTTCCCGTCCACAGCTGCTTCTTCCCCAGCTCTTCCAGCTGCCCTGCCCTCAAAGCCACTTGCTTTGGGCATTTACCGTTTGGATTAGTTACTCATCCAGTTCAAAACACGACCCAAAAAGAGGGGTCGTGACACAGCTAAGCAAACAGCGTACTGTAGTGTGGGAGAAGGGATCCCACCTCGGGAAACGTCCTGGTTGTCAAAAGAGCTTTGAAGAATTGAAATGGACTTCAGTGTTGCAGAGGTGTTTCCTTAGCAGAGTGCAAATGCTCTGGCTGTTCCACATGGGTGTGAATTAAATTTCACATCTGCGTGACAGCGTTCCTGTGAACTCTGGGCCAATAGGATTGTTACCTTATGCATCCTGATCAGCAGAACACACACCTGGGTTTTTTTTATTCTGAGGAAACCTTCCCAATAGCAGAAATCGGCTTCTTTTTTACTGCCCTGGTTCCTGGCTTTCAGTTTTCCCCAGGACAATACTGCAGCAGTGAGTATACTCATTGCCAAAAAATTTAGCATTTTTCAGGTGCGTGCTCCAAGCCCGGATTTCAGCACAGTCTTGTGCTGAACGTGCCTTCTTCGTACAAGTGGAATAAGTTGGTGGTGTGGCTCTTGCGCACACTGGCATGACGAGACTTGGTGGCGTGCCACGTCCCAGCGCAGGGTCCTCTCCTGCGGATGTGTATCTTGCTTCCTTTGGTTTGTGTAGCTGTAAGCTAAAAACAAGCTAGGCCAGGTCTAGAGCAGCAGCTCTTTCCCATGTGAGACGGGTCTGCCGTCGGTTTTGGGAAGTCCTAATTTGTACGCTTTTCATGTTTTGCCCTTCTCGACCCCCAGGCAAACAGTGGTCCAAGCACCAACGGCTGTCAGTTTTTCATTACGTGCTCCAAATGCGACTGGTTGGATGGAAAACACGTTGTGTTCGGTGAGTACCTGCAGCGGAGGCCTGGCGTACCAGCTCACGGACACTCCTGGCGCAGCTGCTAAAATAAACAGCCGTGGGCTGCTTGTTCCTGCCCCCTCGCTTGTGTTAGCGGAGTTATCTGCAGCCAGGTACTGAGGTGGGTCAGCGTTGCAAGGAAACATTTTGTCCCCAGGTTGGCTTTAATCCAGATCAGTTCCTCGATCGGTGTATCGTGATAGTCCATAAATCCTTGTGTGGGTGCAGAGGGGGCAGCCAGGTGAGTGAAGGGAGACCTCCCTTCCTCACTGTCAGACGGGACTGAGCTTTCAGCTGAGTTTTTAGACAGGAATTCTAGGAAACCGCATCTGCTAACTTTTTGCGTGCTGTAGGATTTCAAGGCCAGCCTTTCAGCTGACGTCCTACTTAGTGCTCCCTCCAGTTCTGAAGTAACACCGATGGCGTTCGTTGCCATTTTTGCATCATTACGAAGGCTGTGTTGATAGAGAGGTTGTTCGTGCTGTGTTTTAGCACAGCTGGTGGCGGTAGGTCTCGACCCCCAGGTTTCTATGGGTGCCACCCCTGCGATGGGAAAATGCACTTGAGCTGTTCTGAATGTGGAACGTGTTTTAGGAGGGATGGATTCCTTTATCAGTTCAGAGATCGGTCACAAAGGCTGAGGTGCCCAATAGAGCACTGCGCAAGACTTTTCAGGAGGAACAAAAATGCACGTACCTGTGATGGGGCGGGGGGGAGCAAAGGTGGCAACCGGCCCTATTGAAGCAGATACATTTTCTCATTCCAGGTAAAATAGTCGATGGGCTGTTGGTCATGCGAAAAATTGAAGTAAGTTGAATTTGCCTATTTCTCTGTGAATGTCCCCGTTGGAATGTCATGTAGAAGATAACAAGGGTGGTTCTGTTCTCTCCTGCTGTCTGTTTGCAGGCTACCAGGGAACACCAGTGTTGATAATTGGTATTATCAGTTGTCATCATTGTAAAATAGCAGGAAATGTGTTGGGGCAAGGGCTGTTGCAGAGACTGACTTTAGAAACGCTGTGCTCTTGTGGTTGCTGGTTAGTCTTTGAGCGGGGATTGCGTTCTTGTGGCTTTATTTGCAACGCTTTGCGTTTGTTCAGGAAGCTGAATTGAAAAGCTGTTCCATCAGCAACTCAGACAAGAGTGTAAAGCAGATCGCTTCTGTGCCGTTGCCTGGGATTATTCAGTGGGTGCGAAATCATCAGTTCTGCTGATCTGTGATCAGCATGTTTCATCAGAAAAATTAAACTCATCTTCCGATGGGCCTCTGGAAGCTGAAGATAAACACGCTCCGGGTGGTGGTTGCTACCAACGTTGTGACTGGGTGTCACGGCAGGATAATGAGTAGATTTAACAAACTGCAGTGAGTTCTTAAGACAGCCGACGCTAACTTCACGGCACACGCATGGGATAATGTGCACCGGGGCCTCTGCCATCAGTGAATCCAAAAAGTGGGCCGCAAAGAGAGCTGACAACTGTTAGGTGCTGAGAAAAGGTCGCGTGCAAGGAACTGTACAGCAGGATGTAATCCGTGCGTTGCGAGCCTTCTTCACCAAAAGCACGGATGGAAGGGTTGTGGCGTGCATGCTTTGTGCATCACTGCCGCGAGGGGCAAGTTAAAGGAAGTGAGTAAGAGACTCATGAAAGAGCAGGCGGGTCCAGCAGAACCAGAGGTGCAGAATGAGGGTGGCTTTGTGACCATCTCTTACTTGGATTCCCCTCCTGTACAAATGCAAGCTGCTTTGCGTGTTGCGGCTGTAATTAGCGACTTGAAAGATTTAAGCCAGAGCAGCCTCCAGTGACATTAACGGTTGGTCTTGATGATCTTAAAGGTCTTTTCCAACCTAAATGATTCTGTGCTTCTGTTCTGTGATGTGATGCCTGCTGTATCTCACGAGGAGCTCTCCGGTTTTTGTTCTGTTCCTTCCCTCCCATTCAAAGGATCAGGGTCTGGTCTGTATCCCGAACCTCTCTGCACAGAGAGAGTTTGACGATTTACGGCCGGGTCCGTTGCCAAAATGCATGACGGTGCTTCTGTGTTACTCAGAGCTGTGTCTGGATTGCCCTGCTCCTGATGTTGCACAGACGCCTCTCAGCCAGTCTTCAAGTACCCGTCACTCACCGGATTTACTGTGCTCTTGTAAGGTTTAACGTTACCTATTTGTTTGTCCCCAGAATGTGCCTACGGGTCCAAATAACAAACCCAAGCTGCCAGTTGTGATCTCTCAGTGCGGGGAAATGTAAAGCAATGAAAGAGAAACGTGGTAAGTCTCCGTCTTCGCAGGCGCCCAGTGCACTTGAACTGTGAGCTGCTCTGCTCCTTACGTGTCTCTTGACTTCCTTTCATGTTCATTTGGGCCTGCAGAGAGGGACTCAGCTCAGCCAAACTCCAGCAAATGCCTCTCTGGCAGCGTTAGCTTTTTGCTAGCCCAAGTCCCTGAGCTGGCTTCCCTCCGAGCTACACGAACACCGCAGGCAGCACTGGAGGGAGAGGATTTTGCAGCTGCAGTCAAGGGGAAGATGGGGTTGTGGGAGCTGTGCCTTGGGTGGGGTTAGGCTGCCCTGAAGCCTCGGCTTTAGAAACCAGTGGATGAAAGGGAAATGGAGTTACCCAGACAGTCTGGGGGGTGGGAGGCTTCGCTTTGACCTGCAGGTTGGGGAACTCTCCGATTGCTACAGAAAGCGGAGCATTCATGCGTGGGGCAGGCGGGGATCAAGAAAAGAGGAGAAGGAGAGGACTTGAGCCTCCTTGCTCAGCCGTAGGACTGCCACCACCGAAGGACCAAGGAGTTGTCACGCTACATAGTCTTAACTCGGAAGAATACCAGCGTCCTCATCTGAAGTAAATGCTGTTTCCAGCATTTACTATGATTCAGGCTTCATTTTGGCTAAACCAATAGGCTCAATACAGAGCTCAGGCTAACGTACAGTATTCTGTTTCCATTTGTCCGCCCACTTCACCGCAAAAAAACACAAGCATTTAAACAAATCTGTCTAGATTTCAATGTGTCAGGCTGCAGCTTGTCAAAAATCTGCTGTATTAGCCTTTTGGTTGCTGATTTTTCAAATTTCAGCAGGCGGGCAGGCACTGACAAAAGCAAATCCCCACAAATTTTGACCTTCCATTAAATGATTTCCACAGATGTCTGGAATTGCCCTCAAAGACGTGTTCCTGCTTCCACCAAGGCAAAGGGCTCCAGAGCAGAGTATCGCACCGAGGGACTCTTCCTAAAACAGCAAAACTGCAGTAAAAACAGCGGCAGCACAAGGCAAAAGCACAGGGCGACAGAGGGGACATGGCAGGGCTGGAGCGTGTCGAGAGAAGGGCAAGGGAGTGGTGCAGTGTCTGGAGCCCAAGGCTGCTGGGGAAGCTGGGGGTGTTCAGCCTGGAGAAGAGGAGGCCGAGGGGAGCCCTCATCGCTCCCTACAACTGCCTGACAGGAGGGGGGAGCCGGGGGCGGGGATCAGGGTCTGCTCCCAAGGAACTGTCGACCAACACCCCCAGGTCCTTTTCTACGGGGCAGCTTTCCAGCCACTCTTCCCCACACCTGTGGTGTTGCGTTGGGTTGTTGTGACCCCAGGGCAGGACCCGGCCCTTGGCCTTGTTGACCCTCACCCAATTGGCCTGGGCCCATGGGTCCAGCCTGGCCAGCTCCCTCTACAGAGCCCTCCAGCAGATCCACACTCCCGCCCAGTTTGGTGTCATCTGCAAACTGAGTGAGGGTAACTTCCTTCTTTTCTTCTCTGGCTGTTCAGATCCCCTCATTTGTTCTCTGTGCTTTTACTCCATTTCCTCCATCTACGTTCATGTGCACAGACTGAAGGGAACAGAGAAAAGTGGGCACACAGCAGGGAGCAGTCGGGATCAAAGAGCAGGGAATGGAACTTTTCCATGTTTTATTTACAAAGCTTGTAATTTTTGACTGGACAAAGGAATTGGGGTTCAGCGGAAGATATGCTTCACCCCCCCACTCTTCCACTTTACTGAGTTTATCTACAAATTCCAGCCTCCAGCTGGATCAGGGTTGACACACATATTTACAGTTGGATAAAGTTGAAAAAAAAAAAATAATCTGTTGAATAATTTAGTTGAACTATATCACAGAAATCACCAGGTCAGTCCATTTGGCAATTCTATTCCCCCCGTGCAGTCCTCATCATCCCACAGCAACAGGAGCCCAAAACCTTGTAGTCCAGCTAATATTTTCCAACTCCTTTTCCCCATTTAGAAGTTCTCAGAGCTGATGCTCTGACTCTCCTCCTGCAGCTGGGAGGCTGTGGTGTCTCCAGGCGAAGCTACATTTAAGTAGCCGATCTCAGAAGGTTGAGAGGGGGATAAGCAAAAAGATGAGTCTTGGCTTTCAGCTTCTCCTTCCGGCTTGGCATCTTGAGTGGCCTTCAGGGTGCTGAGAGAGTCCGGCAGTTCTCTCGGTGGGAAGCTGAAAACAAATTTCCTCTCTCAAGTCATTCTGGAAGCTCTATCAGACCCTCCTACATCTGCACAGCCCCAATGCTCCTCCCACCATCTCTGCGAGGCAGTACCAAGCTGCGGTCAGTGCCTGTCACTTGGACTAAGGCACTGATACTCTTCCTCCAGTCAAGTAGGTGACAGCCCCCATCTACCCCAGAACCTACACTGGCTTGTGACAGACCGTCTGTCACCCGCCATAGCTGTAAGCAAGCTGGCTGTTCTGCAAGCAGAGACCAAAATTGCAGAGTCTCTCTGCCTCCCTCTTGCCCGTTTTGCCACGGATCGTGGTGCTCCTGGCTACACAAGCAGAGAAATAGCTCAGGCTCCCTCCTGCCCCATAGCCTGGGATGTGGGTCACACAGCTCTGGGCAGCAGTGGTCTTCTAAGCCTTGTATCCTCTCGCGTAAAGACACTCCTCCAAAACCACTGGGCACCAAGCTGATGTCTAAATCCCACAGTGTTCCCCCACATATTTTGAAAATTTTACTTCTTCCCATTAGTTTCATGGAGTCATCTTAATACCATTTTCTCTATAACTTGACCAAGGGGAAAAAAAAAAAAAAGACCCTTGGAGGTGAAGCACAGGGTGGAGCAGCCAAAATGCTCAACTTCACCCTCACTGCATGCAGAGAGGCATTCCCTGCCTCCTCCTTTTACCCCACGGTACCTGGTACGGGGAGATGGCAACACCTTACTCTGTAGTTGGCGTTCGGAGAAATTAACACTCTTCGGGTCCTGGAAGGAAGAACAGAGACTTTCAGGGGAGGAGCTGCATGTCAGGCCCTGAGCATCAACAAACAAAGTGCCCCCAGCTCCACTGACAATTCTCCCCAAGAACTCAAGCTGCACTGAGGTACTATTCATAGAGTTGTCCTTTGGGTCTGAATTTAAACTAAAAAAAAAAAAAACCAAACCCTAACTAGCCCAGGTGAAACAAAGAGAGAGAAATAAAACACATTGGAATGCACAAACAGCTCTTTCTGCCAGGCCCTAAACAGGACTTTCCTCCTTAACAGCTCATTTCCAACCAAACTGGGTTCCCTCCAAATTTAAAAATGTACCAATAAACTTCCAAATCCACCTTGTTTTGTTTGAAGAGTTACTGAAACACAATCGTTGGCTTTCCTAGATTTTTCTCCATTTTTCCCCTCAAGTTCTTCATGACCTTGGTCAATCTGAAACTGAGTTTCTAGGCCGATCCTCATTCAGTTCAACATGGTCGATCCTATGGCTCAGCTTGGCCTGAGGTTTTTTTGGCTTACAGGTTCCCAACCACACTGCTCTGGGTTGTTTCTCCTAATTTTAACACCAATTTTAAACCCAAGGTCTTTTAACAACTCTAAAGCTGCAAAAGTGCCAAAGTGAAGTTTCTGTCCTTGTGAAAAAGTATCTCCTTGCACAGCAGCTCGGGGATGGAGCGTTACGGCAAGTGTTATTAAGCTTGCAGCTCCCCGCAAAGTCCCTCCTCGCCAACAAAGCTGTGGCAGATCTACCATGTGTTTGGTGCCCCTTTCCATCCCAAGGATGGATCTGAAGGATTGATTCAGCTTTTCTCCAGCACCCTCAGCTGCAAAAACCACCCGTCATTCACAGGAGACATCAGCTCCTGCATCCTGTCTGCTGAGACCAAGTCTCACCTCCGTGTTGGGAGCGTGGACAGTCCTCGGTGTGCGCTGTGAGCTGGGCACGTGGCCAGAGAGCTGGAGCTTGCTCTCATGCAGCCGCATGTTCTCCTCATCCAGGATCTTCACTCTGAACACGTCACATGTACAAGGCACAAGTTATTTTCCTTCTGGCCATGCTATGTTTTCAAAGGGGCATTTTCATTTTCCACCTCAAACCCTTTGGCCTCCACAGCCTTCAGCTGTATGCTGAGGGCTTTGATGGGGAAAGGGGCTAATTAAATTTATTTTAATTAGCAATTAAAAGCCACAGCACTAGTGACTGGGGCACAGTTCAGGCTTTCCTCTGGATTTCTTAAGAGAAATAGGAATAAAACCGGAAAAGTGCTGGGAAGAGGCAGGCTCCCAGGGGCATGGACATCATGAAGCGCCTACCTGCTCTGCAGGGTGGCAGTCGCAGACCGGTTGCTCCAAGGGGTCTCTTCTTGGTCAGTTATCTTCTGGAGGAGCCGTCGTCTTTCCTGGAGTAATTTCTCATTCTCAGCAGTGATCTGTGCAATCAGCACCTTCCCCTGAGCAGTGGTGCAGAAGGAAATAACCAGTGGTTAACTCTTCACTATTCTCTGTCCTCTGCAAACCTTAGAGCACGTTACCAAAGGGTCACCACCAAGCCTGTTCAATCCTAGCAGTGGTAGGCTATTTGATGTACCATACCCCCAAAAGCGGCTTTTAAGTCACTTCCCAGCAGTACTATCTCTGTGGCAAAAGAAAATAGAGCTTAGGTAGTTTCTGAATGGGATTTGAGGACATGGCCTTGAGGGAAAACTTGACCCAGGAATTTTCTTTTGGCTTTTTGTTCCTACAAGGATGGGTCAGAGCCCCTTGGCACTGCTGGCTGTTTCCCAGGGCAGCGTCAGTCCTGCGCACCGAGCGGGAGCAGCACACCAGGCAGCGCTCCCCATGCCCCAACTGTCTGGTTGTTTAACAGTGCAATCCTGGTGCCTTCACACCAGCTGTTACTAAATCTCATTCCCTTTTTTCCTAAACTGCATTTCTTTTTGGCAGAAGGGATGCTCCTGCAGACACGCTGTAGCCTGCTCCCCTGCCATCCCTCGTGGGAGAAGCCCTCGATGTGGTCTCTCACCTTTTCCACTTGGAGCTTCGACTCACTGAGCTCATTTTCAAGCTGCTTAATTCTGCTGTCCCTCTGTTTCACCTCGTGGATAAAGGTCTCTTTGGCTCTGCGGATCTTGTCTTTGTGGCGGAGCTGCATTTCGTTATATTTCCTGAGGAGGCAGAGAGACAAACATCAGGCAGTGAAATGCTTTTGTGTTCTGGGTCAAAAGCAAGGCAGGAGACGTCCTGTATTTATTCAGGCTCTTCAAAGCCTGAACTGGGAGCCTCAGCCATCTACCCAGCTCCTTTTGACTGTGCAGCTCAAGGCAGGACGAGCACGCTGACTTTCCAGACTATGTCTTTTCACCGATCAGTTTGTTGGTTTTTTTTTTTGTTGTTGCAAAAGTTATATCGTTAAGTGTCAACCAAACAGAAATTGAGGGAAAGGGACCCAAAGCATTCCCAAAACTGATTCCCAGCTTTACAAACCCTTGTGCTCACCCCTCTCAGCTCTTTATACCAAATAGGGTTATAAAGTCACCAAACTGGAAGTAATGGGGAAAAGGGTAAATGGGAGCAAGCTGTTTATTTGGGTGGGGATGTGGGTGGTTAAGGGGAAGTATTTGTATATAGGGGGGAAAGGCAAAGAAGAATCCCAACAGCAAGGGTCAGGCAAACAGGCTGCAGACAGAGCCACTTCAGTGGGCACTTCTTAGAGGTGCAACACTGGGGTTAAATATTTGTGTCTACTGAGACTTGTGATCATTGCTCTTCCCCTCAACCTTGTCCCATTTAGGCAGTGCTCTTGTTTATTTCTAGTCAGTTGGGAAAGAAGGGAAAATATTGTCCAAAAAACAGAGAAACCTCTAACAGGTAAGGGACATTTGCCCACATTTGCTCAAAATCCATGACAAAAAGGGTACTGTGCTTCAAATTAGATCATAGAATCATAGAATTCTATGATCTAATTTGAAACACAGATCAAAAGATCAATCAAGATCAGAAGTACTCCGGGGAGAAATGAGCAGTTCCATGGAGCCTCTCTGCCAATGCCAGACACTAAACAGCAGCACCCACAGCCCTCCCCCCAAGCACCCCCTCGTTTTCTGTGCTGCCTTCAGCTGCCAAGGAGAACATGACAGCAGACAGGCGATGCATAACGTAACTGCACGCAGGGGTGTTGGGTTAAGGCCAGGGACCTGGCCAGGCTGGACATCAGGAAAAATTTTTTCAATGAAAGGGCTGTCAAGCACTGGAAGGGGCTGCCCAGGGAAGGGGTCGAGTCCCCATCCCTGGGGGGATTTAAAAGCTGGGCAGACGACGTGCTTAGGGACAGGGTTTAGTGGTGGGATGGCAGGGTTAGGGGAACAGTTGGGCTTGGTGATCTTAAAGGGCTTTTCCAGCCTAAATGATTCTGTAATTCTATAATTCTAAGGCAGATCTCTCTTTGCTAAATGCCTTGAACAGGAGAGAAAAGAAAGGCTACAGAACAGTCGCAGAATCGCAAGGGTTGGAAGGGACCTCGGGAGATCATCTAGCCCAAACCCCCAGCTAAAGCAGGTTCTCCTAGACCATGTTACACAGGACTTCATCCAGGTGGACTTTGAATATCTCCAAAGGAGGAGACTCCACAACCCCCCAGTCAAACCCAGCATCACTGCCAGGCATACAAACAGCAATTCCTGGGTAGTTTTTTTTGTGTCTACCTATCCCCCTGCTGCTTCAGTCATTACCTGACATACAGATCCTTCTGGTTCAGGAGACGGACTCCTTCCTCATAAAGGGCTTTGTTTTCCTCCTTCAGCAGTGAAAGTTGCTGTGAAAGCTTCTGGTTTTCCTTCTGACACTGGAGGTGCTGGAAAACATCTATTTTTTATTGTCTGTGTGTCCTCAGCTGTAGGGGTCCCTCTGCCTCCTTTCAGTCTGATCTTGACAGCTTCTCTGTCATAAATCCTAATGGTTCCCACTACAGATAATATCCATCCATTCTGCCCCCGACGCCACTGCCCCCTTAAAGAAGGGGGAGGGTGGATTTCTGTGCTGCTGGGGGGGGGGCTGTAGGCTTCAATGTGTCAGAGGGAGGTAAAGCATCCTCCCAGTTAGCGGACTGCCAAAAATGTCCTGCAAAAAGCTCCATGCTCTGCAAGAAAAGGGGAAGAAGCCATCAAGTCCTCCTTCTGTGCCCTCAGAGCTGCAGCCCCAGGAAGCCTACACAAGATAGGATCATGCTTTTCCTCCAGCTCCTGTTTACATCAGTGGGATCTACAAGGGCTCAGCACCTGGCTGGATTCGAGCCTATTCCAGCCGTTCCCAGGCACAGATTTCACACTGGGATGGTCCCATTTCCCCCCAGAGCTTAGTGGTCTGCTTTGGAGTCAGCCACCAGCACAGCATCCCCTTGGGTGATGAGAATCCATCCCTGCTGCAGCTCACCTCACTCGAGTCAGTTTTCCTCTCATCTTCTAGGACGTGCAGAGTCTTGGCCTGCAGCTCCACGTGCATCTTGGCCAGCGACGCCTCCGTCTCCCGTGAATGCCGGAGCTGCTGCCGCAGCTCCTCCACCTGCTGCTCCAGGAGCTTCCTGAAAGTATGTTGGTGTGACAGTGAGACACTGACGTGGAGGCCAGGCCGTGATGTGCCACCACCGTGAATTCAAGGCTGGCTGCGATCTAAAAACATCGCACTGCTCTGCACCTGCCCTGGGCAACACTGCGGGTGGAAGGAAATCAGTGCATCCTGGCTGTCCCCATGTCCCAGTGGCACGTGAAAGGGTGTGTGATGTATCTTGGATCATCAACCCCCACTGCACAAGAAAGGGGACTGCTGGCATCTAGAGGGTAAACCAAACCAACTGGGCTGGCAGGAGGAGCCACGCGCCTTCTGAGGCAGCTGAAGTCTCCAAAAATCTTTTCAGTCTCATAAAGAGGGGATCCTGTGGAGCTCTGCCAGGGACACCAGCAGGTCAAAAGGAGAGATAAGAAGCAAAACCAGTGGTGCAGTGACTGTGAGCCCACCAAAGGCCAGGTGTGGAGCTGCAGGAGGTAGCTGGCTGGCTGGCACAGCAGCATTTGGTGGCACACACCTGCCCTCTGCATGCAGAACAGGTCCTACCCAGCTCTGGGTACCTTTTCAGCTGCTCCTCAAGAAGTTCTTGCTGCACACGAGCTTCATTTTCTCGGGCCTCCTTCAATTCCTCTTTTTTCTTTTGCTGGAGTTTTGAAATCTCGGATTAAAATTGGACACAGATTAAACTTTCTAAATTTATAGGCCAGTATCTGAATCCAAGGGATTCATATCCGTTTGATCCCTCAGTATCCGAGTCATGGGAATGAAAGATTAGCTTGCTTCTACTCAAAACTATTTCTCTGTGTCTTTGTGTCAAGGTCCATTAAAAGTAAAACCCTTCCAACAGCTACCAGATTTTGCTTTAGACACAATGTCATGAATTAGCAACAATCCTTTCTGCACCTGATTTGATCCTGCATGTTTCAAAACCGTATCCAACAATTAGTGCAGGAACATGGCTGAATTGGTGCCATGGCAAACACAAGCCTTTGCAACTTCCCAGCTAGCAAAGAGCAGCACATCTCCTCAGCAAGAATGTGATCTGGGCTCCCCGTGCCTGCCAGCCCTACCACTGGTATTCTCGGAGATACTGAGCTTTAGAGACAGGAGCTGAGCCATCAGATTTGGCTTCTGTTGTCTTGATTATGCTCCAACTAATAACAGACATTTTTCCTAAAATATTTAGCCAAGTGATCGCAAAACAGACTAGCAAAATGGACTTCAGGGAACCAACTCATGATGTGCTAGTGCTTCTTTTATCTGGACTACAGCTGCACTGAAACTGCTAAAAACGTACCTCCTGCTAACTTAGCTCGCGCTGATGAGTTACCTTTTTCTGTGCTTCGCATACTTTGGATTTCTCCTGTGCAAGTTTCTGTTGCAGACTGCTCTGCAGTTTATCAGCTTGGGAGGACTTTAAGAGCTCTTGTTCCAGTTCTTTGACCTTCTGCTGGCTTTTTTGCCACTGTGCTGAGAGAGAGGAACATGTTTCAGTTGTGTCCGTGAGTTTTGCCCGGGCTTGCTTCAGCTCAGCTTTGACCTGAGTTTCAAAAGAAGAAGAAATCAAGTTTGTGCTTAAACATATGTCATCTGAAATGTCTTGATCAAGAATGGGGCACCAGGATTACCAGAGAGTGAACAAGAATAAAAGAGAAATACAGGGAGCAAGTACAGCACACACGAAGTTTTATTTGGAGGCAGCGTGCTTCCCATGAAGCTGAGACAGAGCACACTTGAGAGCCCCAGGTACTGTGCAGTCAAATGTAAATCAGCAAGCTGTAAATCTGTTGAAATCAGCACCTCAGACCTCCCACTACTTGTAAAAACGATGTGATGCTGACTTCAAACAGCTCTCCCTGCTCTGTTTGTACCTTGGTGCACTCCTGTTGGAGCAAGACATTTTGCTTTTGTAAGTCGATGTTCTTCTCCCTTTCGTATCTCAGCTCCCTCTCGGCTGAGCTGCACAAGTTCTGAACGCGACGCAAGTCCTGTCGCAATTGCTGCATTTTTTCCTCCTGCTGCTGGAATCTCTCGTCGGACAGACTCTGCAGGAACAGTACAACAACAAAGGTTACATGGCAATTAACTTCAAGGAAAGATAAAGACTGGTAATTAAGAAAGGTAGAGGCATGCCAGTAGGATTTAAGGGCATTTAAGTAGGAAGATGGGTAAAGCCAGGCAAGCGTTTCTTCTGCCCCCACACTATGTCCTGCTCCCTACCCCATCCATCCCGTCAGAGAAGCCGATACAACTCTTGAGGTCAAGGGAGAAGATGCAATAATCTGCATGAGGGAACAAATCCCTATTAAAATGAACCTGTCAAACAAAAGCAAAGCCACACAGGTTCCTCTTAACTCTTGTGCCAGAGTCCCACGAAGCAGGAGTGGCACATCCAGCCACAGCTCGCAGAGGTAGCAGGAACAAAGTGAGTCCTGGCAACGGTACAGGAACGTGCTGGCACAATGCAAGAGCAGCCTGGACACCATGAGGTGGTCACTGATGGTCTATGATGGCTTTCAGAAGGTAAGCTCTTTGGTTCACCCATCTTCTTGCAAGTGCCTTGTACACAGACTAAAATTTCTTCCCACATTTGGTGTACCAAACCCCTTCTTCCCAGCATTGCTTCCAGCCCTCTGCCGATCTGCATTCCACTTTGCGTCTTCACCCTCTGCTCTTGGGACCAGATGAAATCCACTGAAGATCAAGCTTCCCTTCTCAGATAAATCCCCAGATAAATGCCCAAACTGGGAAGTCTTGATCTAGCACTGTGGGATCTGGCAATGTCATTTGTCCTCGAGATCAGTTAGGGTTTGTGGGTTTTTTTCCCCACTTGCTTCTATCAAGATCCATTTCAGCATCCCCTCCACGTCTTGTATCTTGCTCAGTCTGCTTAACTGTACAGATTTTCTGCTTCTTGGTATCAGCATGACTCTGATCCTCTCCTTTCCACTCCCAGTCCTACCTACGGGCCACCCTGTCCTCTCTTCTCTTCCAAACTCCTGCATATAATCCTTGGCCCTCCTCAGGCTCCCCATCCAGGGTACCTTCATCATTTCTTCCCCTTTTGGCAGAGCTAGCTGCTCATCCCCTTTTTTATATCACACAGTAAGAAAGGTGAAGAAATTGCATTAAAACACAGCTAAACCTAGCGACAAATAGGGGTCTTGCCTGGTAGAGCAATTGGAGACACAGGCACAGGCTTGCAGCAAAACTCAGCTGCTTGTGAGCTGCCACTGTGGGGCAGCAGTTGTGGGAAGAGTTCAAGCACTGGAGTGCAAGAGCAGAAAATTGCAAGGAGCAGCAGGGAAGCGGAACAGCTTCTGCAAGACCGTTGTGGGAACAGCAAGCCAGCTCCGTTGCTCACATTCCAAAAAGGAGCTGAGAAAGAGCTCCAAAAGGTTTAAAACATCATCTAAGGATGATATAACTTCTTTCTTTCATGTGTACCACGGGTGCCATTCAGTTTATCCAAGTTCCCACTATGTCCAAAAACATGACAGAAGGAAATCATGACATTCCTACCTGATTTCTAAACTTTATCCCCGAGCAAATCAGCCAGCCTCTCATCTCCCCCAGCACGCTAACTCCATAACACTGAATAAAGATTTGCTGCTTCTCGCTATCAGCATGACTCTGATCCTCTCCTTTCCACTCCCAGTCCTGCCTACAGGCCACCCCATCCTCTCTTCTCTTCCAAACTCTGGCTTCCAAACTGGCTTCTGGTACATTTTAATTACGTTTTGCCACTAAGTTCCTGAAAGAAAAAAGTAACAGTGCAGATGGCAAAGCTGCCCATACCTGTTTAATGCTCCCATTTAAACTGCCTGCAGAGCTCTGCGACACGAGAAACCTGTTCTCTCTATGCACCATGCCTTGATTCATCTTCCAAGTCTCTTCAAGAGTGCTGCTGCCCTGCTCCCAGATAGTCAGGGTATCTTGTTTTAGCTGTGCAATTTCTTCCAGTAACAACCGTTTTTCTTCATTGCTCTCTTTTAGCTGCTTTTCTAGCTCCTCCCTCTTCTTGTTGCTTTCTAGTAATTCAGAACTTGAAGGAGAAATAGTAAAGGAGAGAGATAACTATACACATCCAAGGGAAACCACCCTCCGATGGGGAAAAACTCGGGATATGAGAGTCCAGTGCAATGCTCAAGGCAATGCTCAAGTATCTGGTGAGGCTCCAAAGGGGATTTAATCCTGGGTCTAGCAGTTCTGGGCAAGGGTCAGTCTCCCCTGGACACTGACCCACAGAAAAAAAATGTGTGTCCAGAGGGTCAGCTCCCAATCATTCACGGGTAGGTTAACTGCTGGCTGAGGAAACACTCTCATGGGGCCGCATGAGTTGGTCTGCGCTCACAAGTGGCACAGAAGCACTCGTGCAACGCCTCGTTGTTTGGATGTACAGGCTCAGGTCTCCCAAACAAGCTGTCCCACTTATCTCAATCCAAACCATGTCCCTATAAGCTAACCTACCCATCTTGTCCTGGTTTACTTTATCCCAGTACCTAGTTATCCAGGTAATTGAGCTGACTGGAACTATGCTGGATTTAATCCAAGGTTTTACTTACTAATGAGAGCCTGAGCATGGATGCTCCAACTCCAAATTTGTATTGCTCTACTGAAAAAGGGGAGTCAAGGGACCTATAAGAGCTCTATTTCCAACCCCGACACCTACTGACACCTGCCCTCCACAGACAACCAAAACCCCAGCGGGATGTATATCATCGGCTGCTGGCAGCAGGGAGCCCCAAGGAGCCCAAGTCCACGATGGGAGCTTTTTGGGACTGTGTTAGTCCAAATACTACCTCACTCCAGGAGAAGGAGCTGCCTCCCTTAAGTACAGCTCTCATTTATGCCGTTCAGAATCTGGAATGGCGGCAGAAAAAAAAAAAAGTTTACTTCTGACTGATCATGATGTCAACTAAGGGAAATGCTTATTCACCAAAATCTCTGCAGAGACACAATTCCCTGATAAGGAAGACACAAAGCTGTTGTGCCCATTTTTTGCCAGCAGCAGCACTATGGGGATTTTTAAAAGGCTAAACAATTAGTCTGCAAAGATGAGTATAGAAAGTACCACAGGCCTTGTTAAGGTTTACCAGAGCAGTTCTTGTTCATTCCTCAAGTTTTTGATCTGTTCTTCCAAAAATACTACTTTAGCCATCTGTTCTTCATACATCCTTTCATCTGAACATAGATCTTCAGGTTTCTGCTCAAGTTTGTTAATCCGTTCTCTTTCTTGTAGGAGTTCAGAGACCTGTAAGGTCAGAAAACACCACAACTTTGATTTTCTTTGGTCTCATGAAAACCTTTTGAGCAGTATAAGGCAATGTGGGGACTTTATCAAGACATGGCCTGTGATTCTGTAGCTAAATTGGTAAATTATTGTAGTTCTTCACCCTTGAAGATACACATGCAAGGCTTTTTCTGCACGGGAAGTAGCTGCGTGTAAACTATCATCAAATCACATTTCCTTATTTGATTTCATCCTTCTGTTGCCCATATGTAGTTGTCAGGGTTTTATATCAGGTGTGATATTTCTTTATGAAACCAGCTATTCTTGGTAAAACGGGAAGAGTACAAGATATGTACTCAGCTGTCTCACACTGAAAGCATCCTCCACCCAAGTCAACCCAAACCAGCTTTCTACAGAGGGCCACTCTCCACTTCCAACGTCATCTCCTGCCTTAACACCAGGCAACGGCAGATGCAAAACCTGAGGCATGAAGAGAAGATGTCAAGAAAATAAAAGGGGCAAGAAGGGGAGGCACGAGGAATGCGTAAGGACACAGGAACTCCCAGACTGGATCGGAACCAGTCTGCCTAATATCCCCTGCCAAGCAGTGATGAAATCAAATCCTTCCAAGAAAACGCTTTTAAGTCCACTAAATGACTGATTCCCAAAGCTTTTTTAATCAATACATCTTCCTGAGTGTATGCTAGCACTAATATTTCAATTTCAGGTGGTCTTATCTACAGTAAGATGAATTTATTTATATTTGAGCAACATATACCAGCAGTTTCTTTCTGCATCAGACATCAGAACAACAGGGATTTCTTTCCATTTCTCACCTCTGTATCTAACAAAGCATTATCTTTATGTAGCTTCTTGTGGGATACATTAATGAGATCCCTGCATGCTGATGTTCTTTGGAGACTTGGGAAGTTATTACAATGGTTTGTAAACTCTGATTGTGAGTCAGGCAACTGTTGAGGAAACTGCAGGAGTTAACGGATGTAACACACCTCTAACTACAAGCTCAGAAAAAGCCTTCTCCTCTCAAAAGTCCAAAACCCTTAAAAACAAGAAGAAAGTTAAAAAAAAAAAAAAGCAAAGAGCTCTTTGCATAGCATCAGTTCACAGCACATCATTAAAATTTACAAGAACAAAAATACTATCCAATTTACTCGCCCATTCTATGTGTTGGACATCCTGACAAACACAATGCAAACAACCTCAGATCTTGACCTCCACGTGCATATCGCCCATGAAAACTGATGATTTGATGCCAAGCTAACTTCCAGCACTCAGTAAATGATTCGTCCCAATACGGCTACTCTATGAAAAGGGAATGAACCCATTTATGAAGTCAGGAATCCCACCAAACCCATGCAAAGTTCTCTATTTTCAAGACTGTTACAGATGTTCAGTCTAAAACAGGTCATTGGGTTTCATCTCATGATCCCTTTGATGGAAAAATAGTTCTCTCCTTAGGCAAAACCACCGGCCAACTGGTGGCTAAATTACAACCAAACATACAGGGATGTATGAATTTGATTAAAACCTGGACCATGAGTAGATTGAACTATTGGGATGCAAATGTTAACGAGTGACTCTTCCCATTTTCCCCATCATCCCCCAAATCAGACAGTTCCTTTTCATATGCATATTCATAGACTGACCTAGCCTCTTCCTAAACTGCACTTTAGCAAGGCTTGGTCTGTATCCCAAGCTTTTACAATGGGAATTTGTGGCTTAACAGCCGTTCTGTCCTCTAGATGCCACTGTTCCTCCAGTAAGATTCTTGTGTATATGCAGTTGTGCCAACAGTTTGGGACTTTCATTGGTTTTTACTCACGTTCAAGGAAGTGGTTTAAGGCCTCTCAGAGTGCTAAAAAATCAGGTTAGTAATTGATGTAACCCCTTCCCCCTTTGCCAGACTACCTCAGGTCCCCCTTGTCTGCCTGATCCAGGCCACAGATCTGCAGCTCTCCTAACTTTTAGCCTAATTTTCAGCCCCTATCCTTGCCTATGTCTGTGCCAGCCCTTGTGCAATTTTGCTAGCATTGCACGCTCTCTCTCCTCTATGGCCCAGTTAGAAGACAAGAGCACCAGCAACTCTCCCAGCAGAGATGAACCCGCCAGAAGTCAATCTAGCAGTTAAATCACTTCAAGCAAAGTGTACAGAGGTCCTTAGGGCAGGTAACAAAAAGCAGCACCAGGATCCCAGAAAGCTGCTCATATAGACTCTTATGTGCTATGACTTCTTATCATACCATATTCTGGGTAAGAAAGATACTATTAACATTAACCCATGTTAAACAGATTCAGAATTAGCCAGCTGATTGAGCTCAGAAAAGCAATCGCTGCTAACGGGTAACCGTGATGTTGCTCTGCAGGGAAGTCTTGGCTCAAACCTACAAGTACCCTGCCGTGTTGTCACACAGAGATGAAGGCTCATGATCATGAGCCTCACAGACACAAATAACTCTGCAATAAATACCCAAGTCTGAAAACCTTCCACTCTGCCCTCTAGAGAAGGGGGCTTTGGCTGCAAACTTTGAATTACTGTTTTGTTATTAGATTAACTGAAAGGAAAAATAAATTACGGAGTTAGAGACAGCTCCGTTAAAGGAGATGGATTTAAAACCAACTACCAAAGAAGCTTTGAAACTGGCTGGATTAGAGAAATGCATGAAGAGAAGCCAAGCAACACACTGGGAGGCAACTGGGGATGTTTTATGGAGTCACAAAAGGCAACTGCCTCCTGCAGGGAGTCCCGCTATAGGAGCTATAAGTACCTGGCTGCCCAACACCTTCTTCTCAGACTTCAGATCTTCTCGTAACAGTTCAAGCTCAGATGCAAACTGCTTCCTCCGTTCTCTCCGCTCTCCCAGCTGACTTCCCAACTTTTCTATTGTTTCCTGACAGCTTTCCAGCATCTGGAACAACCAAAGTTAAGAGTCACTTCAGCATCATTTGATGGTGAGGGGTCTGAAGCACAAGTCTCATGAGGAGCGGCTGAGGGAACTGGGGTTGTTTAGTCTGGAGAAGAGGAGGCTGAGGGGAGACCTTATTGCCGTCTACAACTACCTGATAAGAGGCTGTAGCAAGGTGGGGGTCGGCCTCTTCTTCCTGGTAACGGACAATAGGATGAGGGGAAATGGTCTGAAGTAGCACTAGGGCAGGTTAGGTTGGACATCAGGAAAAATTTTTTCAATGAAAGGGCTGCCAAGCACTGGAAGGGGCTGCGCCGGGGGTAGTCTGTGCTCTTACGTAGAAACGTTGGACCAGATGATCTTTCCAACCTAAATGATTCTATGATTCTATGATTCTATGATTTGTTCTAGCAAAAGAGAAACAAAATGCAGAAAATGTGTCCTCAAGAAAACAAGGATAGAAAAAACGCTTCTTAAAATTTGCCAGCAGGATTCCTGCACCTTATACCCAGGGCTGGCTGGACATCTCTGAAGGCCTGGAGCCTCCACCTCACCCAAGAAACCTTGGGAAGGTTCTCTCCCACATGTAATAAGCTCTGTCTGGTTTACATACCACTTGTCTGGCTGGCAAGTAACAAATCGACAGCAGAGTCAGCCCAAAGCCAGCCTGGAAACAGCCTTGTTAACATACCTACGTGCTACCTACGTTTCACTAAACCCTAAACAAGAGTCAAGCACCTGCACATGTGTAAACCCTTCACCCTCACTGGGGAGTCAACAAGCTCCACGGTGCTGAAGACAAGACAAGCTCATAAGAGTTATCAGGGAGAAAATATCGGCATGTTAGCTGCTTCCCTCTAAAGACCTCCATCTGTCTCACATGAGCTGATGGGCTACGAAGATGGTGACAAAGAGCATTCACAGGAGCTGCTCATTTAATATGTTTCTAAACAAAACCATTTCTTTCCCAAGGAAAACCTCTTACCTCTTGCATCTCTTGTGCTCCAGACGATGCCTGCTCTTCCCCACTCATCTCGGTTTTGTTCTTCTGCACTTCAAGTAACTCTGTTTCTAAACTTGTGATCTTAACATAGACAAGCCACAAATTAAAACCAAACCAGTACTCACCACTAGTACTAAATGCACAACTACTACTAAATTGCTCCTTGTGCTGCTATTACAGAATAGGCCCCATGTTTGGAAGCGAGGAGTAAGAAGGGACGTGGACAGCCGCCAGTGTGGGCTAGCTCCCGCTCACATCTTTCATCCTGCTGCTTCAAAGGGTGAAGGAGCCATCCAAGGCCAAGTCAGAAAACCCTGCTCCACAAAAGGAGAGAAACGACTCAGATGTATGGTGAAAACTCAAGGCCTCCACAGCTTGTGGGCCTTCTACATGCTGCTCTCCCAACACAGAGGACCCCACGAGACCCTGTTTTAGATCACGGGCCATCCTCCTTTCCCAGGCTCTTGCAGCGCTCACTCCCCTGCAGCTGATCTCACCCAAGCAGTTGTTGGACCCAGTCCACCAGGACTTGTCCTGGTCCCTCCACCACTCAAATGAGGTTGGTCACTCCTTCCTGCAAGGCTCCAAGGACTCCTGAGCCAGCAAAACTCTGAGCTCTGTACTTCTCCTGGAAGAAAAGAGTTTGTCTGGACAAATGCTCCCTCCGAATTTGCACTATCCCCTCCGAGGGATACCCACCCTTGTGAGGGGATCTTGTGGGAACTATTAGTAGTCCTGCAGTTTTAAAGGTCTTAAAGGAGCCAGGAGCAGTCCATCTTCTCCTCCCAATTACAGTTCCTGTAGACGCTTTTGCAAAATCTGAGTTTTGGCACTCGCAGCCACTCCACTCTGCTGCCAGCCAGCACAGCATTCAGCAGCCTTTCCTTTCAGGTCCTTACACTCGGAAGAAAGTTTGTTTTTCTTATTTTTAAACCACCAAGCTGGCCTCCCCACTGCCCGAGCTGGGCTTTCACTGAACGAGGCAGCAGAGCAAGTGGGGACACTGGAAGGAGATGAAGTCCAGCTTCATCTGTACACAGATTACCCTGAACCCACACAAGCAACATCCATCACCCCACTCAGACGGATGTGTGTATGGTGAAGCACGTAAGATGCCTTACACCTTTCTCACACTCCTTTCCTTGTGCTTATTCAGAGATCATTTCTCATTCCTTTCCAATGGGAACACAAAGCCGATGAAGTGCCAAGTCTCTGCCAATCCCAGTCCATTTAAAGTGATTACAAAGCAGTGTGTCAAAGCCCGGGAGCTTTGCTTTCACTGACAGGCTTCAGGCATGAGATGGCTCTCTTGAAGCTCCCCGCAGGGAATGATCTCTAACAGAAGAATGCTGCTGCAATACCATTTAGGACCAATGATGTTACCCATCTAGGCGTTAAAAGGAAATCAGTGGGGTGAAACACCCAGGCCTCTTACAGAGGAGCCAGAGGGCAATAAACCCCCCTCCTCTTGCATTACTAGATGATAGTTTGGGGTTCAACAGGATGTAAGAGCTGTGAAAGGGATCTCAAAGGCACAATAAACCTCCTTTTTCCACCCCCCCAGCTAACCTTTGGTCATGAAGTTGATGCCCAGCCATGCATTTCCATCATTTTGCTTTTCCTCCAAGCTGCTAACTTTTAAGCATTTAAGTTGCGCACTTAAGTCTCGTGACAACGGCAGAACAATACTCACATTGTATCCTGGTGTCCTTGTTCTGAGTCAGTGGCCTAATCAGCCAAGATTTTTGTAGTCGGGCCAAAATAGAAAAAGACTTCCAAGTCATTCTCGCATGGGGCAGCCTGGCAAACACCCAGCAGCGCTCCCTTCTCTGGGCTCCAGCACACCTGACTTCATGCAGGCCTTCCCTCATTACCTCCAAGGCACCCAAAAGCGCCCTGGAGATGAAGGGTGCAGCTCTGCAGCCTCCATCTGAGCAGACACTGGATTTAGCTGAGGTTTAACCCACCTCCTCTTCCACCCAGCAATCTTCCTGTCACTCCTCTGCTGCCCTGCATGCCTCTTCTCTGTCTCCTTTTCAGCGACAGCGGCTGCCAAGCTCATGCCAGCCAAAATGCCTCGCGTCTCCTTGGCTACTCGGTGCTCCCAGCTGTGTTCACCCTGCATCCCCCAAAGCAGCGTTCCCAGGGATCTGTTTACCAACGTCACTGAGCAAAGAAGGGATTTCTCCAAACTGAAAATGCATCTTGTTTGACTTGTGGAGGGTTGTGTTTATTCTACATCAGTGAAAAAGTGGGAAACATTTTAGCGTGTGCTGAACAAACCCCGATTTAAACAAAAGCACAGTCACGGTGGATGGACATTTAACCGTTCCCATCAGAGAGCCTGCCCTTGGCTCCTCAGCTACGCATTTAGAAACACAATGTCTGCTGGCATAAAGGTATTTGAACATGCCTGCAGTCTGCTTCACTGTCCTTAGAGACTCTTTCCTCACAGCCAGAGGCTACTGACAAGTAATTCACCTTTTCTTCCTTTGAACAGTTCATCCTGGAGACATGGCTACTTCAGCATTCACATGGGATACACCTTCACACCGTACTACCTCCTGCATCGCATTTTAACACAACAGCAAGTACATGAACATCTTTTCCTTTGGCTGAAGCCCTACTGCCTGGCCAAAAGCTCTTCCTTCCTTGGGCTGAGTTGCCCTCTCCCCTCTGTGGTTGAGACGGTCTCTGTAGTGATCATAGTCCTGGCAATCCAGGAAGCTTCAGCAATAACTTAACCCTTGCTCAAAACATGGATGGAGATGGCTCTGCAGGTGTTGCAGGGAGACCTCGAATGTTGCCATGGTTCTGGTAAACCAGATAATCAACATGGTGCTTCACCTCTGCAATTTCCCAGAGGTTCCCTGTCACATGGAAATGAGTGGAAATAACAGACTTTCTATCAACCTCCTGAAGTCAAAGGATGATCTGAATGGTCTTGTCCTAGTGACAGGAAAAGATCCAGATTGTCCTGGGTTGAGGGTGCCCAAAACCGAGCCGGACACGAGAAAGAGAGAGAGACTGGTGAGATTACATCTCAGTCAAGATTGAGCAGAGCTTCTCTAAACATATCAGCTTGTCACAGCTCTTCAGAAAGATGCATCCAGCTATGCTTGCCCCGCTCAACAGCAGATGCTGCAGCAAGAGATAGTAGGCAATGAGAGAAACTCGCTGTCCCCTCAAATTTGTTACTTTCAGCAGGGATGTCCCCAGGCAGTGCAGATCCTGGCCTGCCCACACCCAGAATTGCCTCAATGTTTGCCACATGCGCTGACAGGTCTCCAAAATGCTGTGCCTGTGGAAGTGCCATCTTTTGTCATCAGCATGCTTCACTGGTGACCTTTCTTCAGGTCAAGGAGTATCAGGGTCCCACACTGACCATTTTCATCTGTTGGACAGGTCTGGAGAGGGGTTAGGGATTCAAGTGAAAGCCTGGACTTCTGTCATGGGTGCCAGGTTAAGGGACAACTCATGGGCTTCAGGAAAACCTCTTGCCTCTCTTCTGAGCCTCAAGAGGACTTGGGGCTTCCTAGAACTTGCTCTTCACCAGGAACTGCAGGCAGAAGAAACAACTGTCCAACATGGAAAAGCAGTTCCAGGAGGAGACAGACACTGAAGTCCATCAGGAGCACAGATGCCTCTCAGGGGAAATAGCTTCCAAGCTACAAGAGGTTCAGAAGAAAAAGCTCCAAAGAAAAAAGATGCAACTTGAAACAAAAAGGCTTTGCTTGGCCAAGAAAGCGAAGGGTGCAGAGCCCATACGTACTGTATGGGAAGGGAGTGTTGCCTGATCTCACTCCTGTGGATGCAGGAGGTACATTAGCTCGTTAACTCTGCTTGCCCAAGCACTGGGGAGGGGGAACAGGAGCTGGAAGAGACAATGCTGCTGTGACACTGGGGGAATCTGCACCTCCAAGCAAGCACCATTTACTCACTGCTGGAATTTTTTCCTCCTTTTCCTCTCTTTTCTGAAACCGGCAGCTTTTTCTAGTTGCATTTCTTGTCAAACTAAACAGAGCAGCATGCAGGTTTAGGTCAAACACCATTTTATTTTACTAATCAATAGGCAGAGAGAAAAGCAGCTAGAATTAAACAAAGCCAAACCATATTTCTTCCATTCCTTACTTACTTTCCGGTGAAGTCCCTCCACCTCACTCTCAAACTGTTCCTTCTCCTGCTTGGTTTGGATCTGTGTCTCTCCCAGAATTGATTCTAGCTCCTCATTGCGCTCAACCAAATCCTCGTGCTCCTGCTCCAGTTTTTGCAGCTTGTGAAGGAGCTGTGAATTCCTGCCCTCGATGTTTTCAATCACCTCTCGGCACCTACACACCAAAGACTGACATCACCAAGGCTAGAAACTGCTATATAAACACATTGACACACATCCAAACCACTTGCCACCGGTGAGGAAGACCCGATGTGTTTTTCACTATGGAATATTTCTGTCCTGCTAATTTTGAGTCTGGCATCCAGCTTGACTTGTGCCTGCTCTTATTTAGGTGGTGATGCATGAGAATTATTGGTGATGGGCTCTACACAAGTAATGATGAAGGTCAGGGGAGAAAACTGGTCAGGCAGGAGGATGCTAACAGAAGAGAGGCAATGGCAAATTCACCTGCCTGAGGTGGGGGAACAGGTTCGGGCATTTCAAGAGGAGAGAAAAGAGGGACAGAGGGATGGCACCAAGACCCCCTTTTCCTCCTTGAGCCTGCCAGAAGAGGCTCAGCAGCAGCTTCCTGAGCAGGCCACAGCAGAATGAAGCTTTGACTTCCCTTAAAAATCCCAGTTTACATATTTCAGTCTTAAAGCAGAGTTGTCTTGGTACATCCCTGGACAGGAACCAAATCCAAAGAAATCTTCTCAGCAGCAAAAAGTGTTGAAAACAACACTTTTGTCTGCAGAGAGCCATAAAAGCTCAACCCTATTCTTTTAGAAAAGCCACAAACTCGGGAAACTACCAGAGAACAGCCCACGTTCTTGATACTAAGGGCTACAGACCCACTCAAGACTGCATTACCTCCAAACTTTCTGAGTTGGGAGCAGAGGAACAAAGCTCTAAACACTCTAAAAACCCCAATGTTTAAATGCACCCTGCAGGACAGAATACCAGCAATCAGAGCGCCAAATAAGCCGCTGTGAAAATACAACAGATGAAGGAGGATTTCTACATTGCTCACCTTTTGTGAAGTGTTTCACTACTCTGATGTCTGTCTTCTTGGTCAGAGTCGGCTTTGCCTGAAACATGGTCTCCTTCAGCCCTCCCTTCATCCTTTGTGGCCTGTGACTGTAGAGAAAATGAAAAGTTAGCGCATAATTAAGACTGAAATCTTAGCACCATGTGATTCCAAAGCTACCCAAGTCTGTCATAAATAAGACAACACAACAAAAACCCATGATCTACATCTGCTACTCTACCTGCATTAGATAATCCACCGGCCACAGGAGGAGAAAACCCCAAGACCCACAGTAATATGAAGGCACCCGTGGGTATTAGCTTACACCAACAGACACGTTCTACACACCAGTGTATTCATCATGCCCAGTGTAAAACCTATGTCACACCTGCACAGGATGCACTCACACATACGCAGAAAGGAGAACACAAGCGTTTCTGCACTGCAAGCTGTGCATCTTCACTTATGGCATGGGGCTGAAACACAGAGCGGGGCGCCTCTGCTCAATTTGCTTTCTAGAATGGCAAACAAAAAGCCCTTGAAAATACCTGCAGTGAGGACAATGCAACTTCTTCAGTCTCGCTTGGCACAGACAATGGAAGTACTTGCTTCTCGCTTTTCTGATACTCACAGATCTCCTCTTTGAGCTGTTCAACCTTCAAAAGGAAAATGCTTTTATTCTTGGTGAATGTTCATCTTGCTGTTTTAGAGAATTAAGATTCCCCTCAAATTTACTGTAGATAAACTGCAGATTTATGAATATTAACCACTCAGCTTGAGGGACTGGTTGAGATCACGGAGCTGCTCCAACAGGGTGGGCTCAGAGTGCTTAGTGTTTAGAGAGGTAAAGAGCAGTAAAAGGGAGAATGTCACACCACGTTAAAGAGTAAGCGATTTTTCTTCATTTATTTCAATTACTGATCATGCACATGTTGTACATCCCCTTTTACCGAACGGGACTGAGTGCAGAGGGGTAGACAGATGACAACCACTATTTCTGAAGGCACCTTTTAGTCTTTGCTGTTATTGATAGGATCAATATAATATTATTATTAGCAGGCTCACGTCACACAGCCACTCACTCCCTCGCACACCCACTCCTGGCTACCAGTTGGAGCAATAGCTGGAAGGCCAACCCCAGCCATTTACTCAGAAGCGCAAGGTCGGACTGCAGCGGCTTGTGGATGGGTGTTGGTGAAGTCCTGCAGACAGAGCTCGCCTTCATCAGATGCAGATGGAATCCTGTACTCTTCCAGTGT